TGATACATTGGCTCATTAGTAGTATTAATAATTTTTTGTCTTTGTAGCGTGTGGCTCATTTTCTGGCTCCTTTATCGAGTACTTTGGTCATGCCATGAGTAAGTTTCGCTGTATAACATTCATTAACCTGGCACCGCAGAATATTAGAGGCTACGGGAGAATGAAAATTCGGTCCAGACGATGCTCTTTACTCTCTGTCTTCAACAACTCCAGGCTATCCAGTGAGGAGGAAGTACCCGCAGGCAGCCTCGGAGAGGCTAACTATTGCCAATGATACGATGATGGAGACGCCATGTGATGATCATATGGACGATAGCTTTAGTGAACAGCAGGAGGAGGTCAACAGGAGTTCAAAGAGGCTGCTGCCAGACCGGACTCATGCTGCCCACAATCGCGCTAATGAGAAGCTTGTACATTTCATCGTAAAGCAGCGCATGGTGGAAGGACACCTTCTGGTATGATAATATTTGTATTGCTATTGTTGGATTAGCAAATACTTTCTCCATACCAGTGGATGTTTTACTGGTAGAAGTATGCAGGAAGTCTGCCAAGGGATATTGCATTGCATTGGATATTGGTGCAGGTGCATTCCTCTGGCCAATAAACCAGTTCTACATGGTGAACTGTCACCAACGGTTTGGATTAATCATTGGAAGTGCCACCCATGTTTTTCATGTAATGAGAAACACATTTTAATGACTGTACCTGAAACTGGACATGAAAGCCTGCTCAAATTGTGTGTCACTTTAGCAGTTTAGGTTTTTCCAACATTGAATCACTGTGGATGGTATTATGCATTTATTATGCACAAATATATCACATAATATATTGCAAGAGCTCAGCTGGTTTTGCAAAAACATACGGGTTTGCCCAGGTGAAACAAAAAGCTGAAACAAACAAAGCAATCATTGTTTTAGATTTCTACATACCTGTTTGAAATATATTTGACATCGGAGTCTCTGCTGTTGATGGGTGCAAGAGAAATAAATGACATCCACTGTGAGATTTTAATGTTGTGAAACAATAAGACATAAAAAATTGAATGTGGTTAATATTTTCAAGAGGCATTATATGTAGCACCCTTTATGTATCACTCTCCTTGCAGGCTGTGATCAGTGGGCAGCAGCAGTCCAGATGGCTTCGCTCCTTCTTGAGTGCCAATCGGAGACGGGTGGTGAACATATACCTGGAAGATGACCAGCAGTTGGACCAGGTGTATTTGTACCTAAATGAGCTCTATGCAACGGCCGTGGCCACCGCTCCTTGCCTGGCTGAGGTGAAATCCATGGAGCGAGTCCCCTTTGTCCTCGATGTGCTCCTTCCTGAGGTGAATCAAAGCTTTCATCAGCGCTTGTTTATTTTTTTTTATTCTACTACAAAATATGGTTTGTTTTACTAAAATGCAGTTCACAGTTTATGTGGTAAAGGGTTTGAAAGATGGTTGTCCTCTTGTTCAGGCCATCATCTATGCCATAGCCGGGGTGGACAATGTCTCAGTAAAAAAGGCAGAAGAGAAGTACCTAAAAGGCCGATGTATAAGTAACAGGTAAGGGTTTGAATTAATTCCATCAGAGGAACAATTTTTCACACTAAATACTGATTATGATCAGGGACTGTTTTTTTTTCCCATTTCAGAGAAAGACAAGAGTTTGACTTGATGATTGAGCGACAGATGAGGAAAAAATCCCAGCCTCAGAACACTGCACTGGCATTATTTTGACCCCATTGGTTAGAAGACAAGAGTATTGTGAAAAAGGAAACTATTTTTATACTGAGTTTCAATTATTTTGTTTATAAATAATGTAGCAGTGTGTGCCTTACAATCAACGATAAATGTTATCACATTATTTCAACTCTCCTTTGCCTTTTTTGAGACAACACTGTAAATACTGGATTTAATATCTGTTCACAAAGGGACTCTCAAAAGCTGGCTTTAACACATCTACAGAAATAATGGTAACAAATATTAGCAGGGATGTGATTTTTCCGTTTTTTCCGACCTGAAAGTCTGACCCACGTGAATCATGCAGATCTGTAATTTAAAAGGAGCTGGCCGAGTGAATTGCAGAGGATTTGAGGACATCGACAGGCTGATGTTTGTAAAGTTTTATTCCTTTCCAGGTATCAGCAAGGATGTTTGTTTGCGTTCAGCTGCCCATTCCACACCTGCGTAGTGTGTACCACAGTCCCTCTCGCGCATCAGTGCTAACGTGTTGGGCAGTACTGTAATATTACTTTTCCCAGTAAAGAGTAATGTAACGGATTGTTATTTCCAGTAATATTATTTGTTACTAATCCAAGCAACGCTGCGCTACTGAAGCCACCATCCCTGACGTGAATGCGCAACCGCGCTGCAGCTCAGCGGCACCGGACCTTATGTTGTTAAAGTCAGCTGTTAGCCAAAAAGCCAAAGGAAGACTGGAGAACAGGGAGAGAGAGGTATTTTCGACAGCTGTAAGTAACGTCATTGCCATTATTGTGTCACAGTCTAATGTGCAAATAACAATGTCGTCCGTTGTACACTTTTTGCGACCAGCCAAAAGCTTTCAACCACGAACAATTATACATCTATACTTAATTAAAGTATCAGCTAAGCACAGCAACGTGAAACTCGGACAGAAAGAAACTCCGGCCGCTACTGCCAGTGACGCTTGGACTCGTCGGGAGAGAGTGGCGTTATATCACCCAGTAGTATGGTAGAGTAGCTAATATGACTTTTTTAAAGGATTATATGCTAAGTAACTAGTAGGTAATAGTTATAGGCCTATTATTTCTGAGTAACCTGCCCAACACTGAGTTGACAATAAGGATCAGATAAATTGGGTATGTTTTGATTATTGCTTGTTAGAGGCTATGTCTAATGTTTACTTTGACGTTGTCGATTGATCACTCATATAGCCTATATACACTTTGCTGTATGAATGGTTGCTTTTTAAGTCCTTATGTTAAAGGTTTTGGCACCTTTTTATAAAGTAATTTCTTGTGAATGGTTGTGACAGGGTTTATATAAGGCCTTTTCAGACGGCTTGGATCCGCGGGGTCGCTCTGCGCTCCTCATCAACAGACAGGCAAACAAGCGCTCGTGAAGTAACCATGGCAATGGCTTCTGTGTAACTGGCGCTCAGTATATTTTCCTGCTTTTTTGCCCTTTGCCCTGATTAGACGATGTCTAATCACCTGACTTTCATAACTGTTTGCTTATAATGTACAGCTAAGTCCCTCACAGAGCTAATCATTAATGAACTCTTGTTACATGGTGTGTGTGTGTAGTTGTATATGCTCGTTTTACAGAACATGTTTTTTTTTATAAACTATTTTGTTCAACAGTAAAGGCTTTCACACACTAGAGGATGGACAAGTGCCATATTATAAAACAGACCTTTCAACACAAGTCTTCATCACAATGCTATAACCCAGTAAATACATGAACCCCAACAGCACAACCACTAGTGGGCTTTTAGCAGAATCATTCTGTACCTTTTCAGACAAGGAGATCAGGCATCCTATAAAATTTGTGCGTGTACCTCATGAGTAGTATTGAAATGTTCCCATGGAAAATAAAGCGTTGTTGCATATAAATTGTGAGCCCATGGCTGTACTTGTCTTGTGAAGGTGCCTAGGGTTAAAAAGGAACTACTCATTTTTCATCTAACAGATTACACTGTATGGACACAGCCAATTGAAACATTACCTCTGCAGAGGTCCATTAATCACCATAAGAAGAACCACTGTCCAAAAAGGAGGGATGGGGGGTGCTGAGAAGAAACCACATGATGGCAACATCAGCACATCTGAGAATTGTTTTCAATCTATTTTTTTTTTTATTATTGTTAGGTATTTTTAAGGGGTAAATCTTTCATTGCGCCACCTGAAGAAGATCCATTTTATGTTTTATGTCTGCCAAGGACTTTTCAATCTGTTGCCGTTTGCAGTACAAGAGTATCTGCTGCCATACCACCAGACTACTGGGCAGTGAAACATAACTCATCTCTTCCTCTGCACTACATGCTGCACAGATAGGCATTTTTGTTTGTCTAGTTTTTTGCACCACTGTGATCATAAGTTAAGTCTATTTTATGGGAAGCTTGTATAGAAGTAATATGATCTGTTCTTCTTGTCCCAGGGAGTACACTAGTTGTCACTTTTTTAATGAGCTGGAGCTGGCCCACAGTACTTTTTTTTTATTGCACACTTCCTTTTCTTCAGTATTTTGCCACTTGCCAACATGAACATATTATGATGCCATTAGACTGGCATCCTACTCTGCTCTACCAGTCTGTTTTCACTGATGTATGTTGGGCAGCTAAATTGTTGTTGTCTTGATTATATATTATGTGTAAAGTGTCTCATTTTACTTACAGAGAAGCTCCCTAGTTTATTTTAGTCTTAACTTTTGACTTTATAAACATGCTTATAACATTTCCTGTAAAAAATGTGTTCTCACATTTGACTGCACATGACAATAAACTTGTCCTTGACTCTAGTTGTGGCTTCACTACTTAAGAAATAAATTTTTAAATCTCCAAATAGACCAGGCATTTTATGTGTATAGTTGGTATACTTAATGTAGGGTCACATTTATGCATGCAAACAATACAAACATTTTGTTAATTTGATTTTATTCTTTCACTATCTCAAATATCTTGCTTGTAAACCATTGATGATGTGGGCCCTTAAAACCAATAAGACACTGAACATGATTTTAGGCTGTAGATATATTTTAGTATTTATTTGTAAGTGGACCAGTACACTAGACAATTGTGAACAAAGACTGCGATAAACCAAAAGGAAATGTGTGCAGGTGTAAATATCACCCCTTTGCAATGATGTCTATGATTGGTGGGGAAGTAGCATTAAGAGTAGCAGGTCTGGCCCATTTAACATTTTTTGAACAAAATAATTTTCGCATTGAGGCAGAAACTACCCCTAAACCGAGAGGGGCAGCAGTACGCCATCGGCGTGCCTATTCTGTCAGCCCCAGCCCCAGCCCCGGAGAAGAAGAAACGCAGCGAGCACTTTCTAGCCGTGGAAATGGCGCTTCGAGGTGTAGACGCCTGAAGTCAGAGGGAGCATCGCATGCTGGTTAAGTCAGTTGAAGCGCACATAGGCTCTACGCATGAGTTGTACTTTCAAAAGGAGCGGATTATGACAGAGGAGAGAAGGGATCGGGAGATTCGACACGGACAACAAAACATTTGTGGCTCTGATAAAGCCGCCAACAGCAGTCAGGTAGGTGTAAAGATAACGTTGGTAGCAGCTAGCGGCACATTGCATCACGTTTTCCAGTGTAGTTGGGAGAGAGCTAGCAAGGCTAGTCCACTAAACTCTCTTAATACTGGCTAAATTCCCCCAAAAGATTTACAGTAAAAACGTGACTAGTCTATGACGAAGGCCAACTGTACCGTGATGTTGCCAGTAGCTACAAGCTAGTTAGTTTACTATTGTCGCACTACACCACAGTAAGTTCGCACTGTTCCAGCTAAAGCAACCTCAATCACTTGTAACCTTACCCAGCTAAATTCACAGATTCAAGCAAAGACAAGACTCGTCTCCGGCGACAAGGGTATTGTAGTATGACGATGGCTGTCAGGGTAAATACTAACGCTAAGGTTGTTCCTGGTTGTTAGCCTAAAAGTGGGTCGCGGAGAAACTAACGTAACGCTAAATACTGCTTAACGTTAGCTAACATCTACGCCAGCAATCGCTATAGCTTACGTTAGCAAAGTAGCAACGACGCACATCAGACTACACTAGCTAGCAACCCGGAGTTCTTCTCCGGATGATTAAACTAGCTTTAGGGTTAACATTAAATGTTAGTCAGCGCTGTAGTGACTTGATTGATGAAGCACAAATGCAGTAACTGAACAGTGAATTAACTGTTGCCGTCCCCTAAGGTTAGCTAGCTTAACTTTAACGGTGAACTCGGGTAAACTGTAATCCTGCATGACCTTGCAAGCTAACTGGGTAGCCTGCTAAATTACCAAGGAAAGTGAGTAAGGCAATTAATCAGTCATTATTCAGCACTAAATGACATTAGCATATTTTCATATGTCGGTACTATGTCGCGTGTTTAAAAGAACCGTGCATTAAATTGCACAAATAAAGCGATCGTTTGTTTGTTTACATCATGTCAAGCTAGCTCCACGCTAACAACTGCAGCTGATGAAGCTAATCTATGCTCTGCAGATGCTAACGAACGAGCTAACGTTAGCCCGTTACCTGGCTTTTAAATATCAATAACTTCTATATCATGGCTCATGCGTTTGACGATTGACGTTACATTTGAACGTTCTTGGTTGTGAGAGAGACAAATTTCTGTCAGGAAAAACCTTACAAATATTAACACGTGAATGCTAACTAGATGTATTTGGTGAAGCTGCATTTTTTTTTTCTGGATTTACTGTTGTGAATATCTGGTTCTTTCAATAGCAGTAACAATGTGGCGACGCGTTTAAGTGCAAAACTTGGGCTTGTTTAGTTCGTAATTGTTATAATACGTCAACATGTTCCTTTTCACGCCAGGGCATGTGGCTGCGTAGTGACAGACTTGTTGCGCGGGAGTTCACTTGAATCCGCTGTGCTTTTCCATCGTGGTCACAGAGGGCAGTGTGGTGTCCAATAGTGCACACTGGGAAACTGACACACATTTCCATTCAGGTTCAGTTGGCCTTACAATCGCCACAGTGCATACCACGTGGCTGGAGATGATATCTTGTTGATCACTAGTACAATACCAAGGCTGAGGGAGTTTTACGGGCTTGGGTCAGTAATGGTGAGAATCAGAAAGAGCTTTATCTCAACTAGTATTTTACACATTATATCTAATTATAAATAATTATCGAGCAATGTGTAAAAGAAAAATTAATTAGGAATCACCACAGGGTAAAACATAATATAGATACTAGTGTTAAACACATCACATAAAAGCAAATCTACTTTAAAAAATGTTTTAACATGTCTTAAGACTATACTGATTTTGTGAGGTTAAGCTAAACAGGCGGGCCAAAGTTTTGGGGCCTGGCTGGCCTTAACGGTGTAAATTGGATTTGTGAATCAAAGATCTGTGAAAAGTTTAGTATTTATTAAAATTGCTGAAACGAGAAGTCATGAAGGTGCAGCTGAATGAGTGATGACATCATCTTCACTGTACGGTTAAGCTTTAGTAGTGTTGTTGTCCTGGACCTGTAAATGGAAAAATGCGTTGGATATGTCAGTTAGTCTGGAGACGGATTATAAGAGGGACACTTCAGCGGCTTCTTTGACCAATGTCTCAGATAGTGCTTTATTCTAGCACTTTATCCCAACATGCGTCTGCAAACAGATGTGTAGCAGTATGTCATCTTGTTGTTGATTAGAACGCAAACCCAGTTGCAGCCCCAGTTGTCAGCAAGCTTGCTGACAGTACATTTCCGGGCAACTGTGTGTTTGAAAGAAAGACCTTTTGTACTATAAAACCCTGTCTGAGCAGATAAAGCCTGAAGTGAATTTATGGAGTAGGAAGGGTTCAGAGGTTTCACAAATTTTACTTTAACTTATTGACGTTTAATTAGTGAGAATGTATCGAGGGCAAGGTGACGTTGACAAAATAATAATATATTTTGAACACATAATGTAGCAACCTAGCAAGAATTTTACAGAATTTTTAGGGAACTTCTTGTGAAGGGTAAATTGACCAGCCGCTGTTTCTAACACACACTGTATATCCCGTGTTCCTGTTTATACAGTGAACAATGCATGACCTGACTGCCCAAGTGACCAGCAGCCTGCTGCCTTTCCCAGGAGTGACTGTAGATGCTCTGGGAGAGGATGAGATCACCTTAGACTCTGTGCTACATGGGAAGTTCACTGTTGGTAAGCCTATTTCTACTGATCAATGACCTCTTCCCTCCATCCTTAGTTACGATAGCAAATGTTTAAACACATCACTACTCACTTAATGAGCGAAATAAATGCACCAAAGTGTTTCTAACACCCAGGTGGGAAACGTGACAAATTTTTTAAATTCATTTTTTTTAAAGCAGTACCTTAAGTTATTTAGAAATGGTCAAAATAATATATTCTAATAAACATGTTTACAGTCAGAACTTTAAGTATTCACTACAAAAGTGAAACAGTGTAGTTTAAAACAAGTGATTTACTAAATTACATTGCTCCATTTAACTTGGCTGGTAAAATCCTTAATTAAGTAATTGTGTGCTGTTTCATTCTTGAAAGTGGAACCTACCTTGGTGATAATCCTAGATCTTAACACCCTAACCTTTCACGTGTGTGTGTGTGTGTGTAGGCCGCAGTGGGCTGGCCTGGCTGGCCTGTGGCCCCCATCTGGAGGTTGTCCATGCGGTGACAGGAGAGCGGCTGTCTGCGTACTGCTTCAGCGGTGGAGGCGAGCACCCACCCAGTGTCCTCGCTGCCAGGGACTTCAGCTGGCTCAAACGGTCAGAGCTGTGTTTCACTATCTCTTTTTTGTCACTCTTTGACTCTATTCGCACTCTTTCCTACTTTGCACTACAACTGCTTCACAATCTTATTGTAATCAATGGAAACAAAACTTGTGATGAGTGCTATTGGACAGCTTCTATAATCTGTTACAAAGAAAGATTTTAAATGTATATATCAAATGTCAACTCCTTTTTACTGTTTTTATTTTACTAGGTCTGGATTGCTGGTTGGCATTGAGGAAACAGAGGGCAGCGTGCTCTGTCTTTATGACTTGGGACTGTCAAGGGTGGTCAAAGCTGTGGTTATACCAGGCAGGGTGAGTTGGCGGTGCAGCAGGGTCCCCTCTACTCTTAACTGGTAGAGAGAGTTTTATGCTTGTGAATCTAAAGTCTAGTATCGTGGAGTTGCAAACATAAATTGGTTCAGTCATTAGTGTATACAAAGTGAGTGAGAAGTACAAAAGATATTTCTCAAAGACATTAGATTTTTATTTCTTATTGCTGACATTAAGAATTGTGTCTTTGTGTTGTAAGCAAAACGACTTAACACAACCCTTGCATGCAATCTGGAACATATCTCAGCTAATCTTAATCCACATTGCTTTACGATGAACACAAAACAAGACATAAACATAGCACATGTTAACATTTCGGCAACCTGTCAATTAGGGCTGGGCAGTATATCGGTATATGAGGTGTACCGATATAGTGTGATGTTGAGTTAATTAATATTTCCATAATGTCCTGCCAGCCTTTGCTTCTCTCTCTCCCTCACTGCGCAGCCCTGTCCCTCTCTTTTTCAGAGTCACAATTTAGGATTTAAATGAAACTTTCTTACTCACTGTCTCACTATCCGATTTAGCCAATTCTTTGCAATACTACAAGTATCATGTCCATCAAAACCTGAACATGTCTGTCTTTTCTTCTTTCAACTCTCTCTGTTGTCTAGATCACAGCTATTGAGCCGTTAGTGAGTTACGGCGGAGCAAGCACTTCAACCCAGCATCTTCATCAGAGTCTGCGCTGGTTTTTTGGCATTGCCGCCGTAGTAACAGATCTTGGTCATGTTCTGCTTGTGGACCTCTGTCTCGACGACCTGTCCTGCAGTCAAAGTGAACTGGAGGCTTCAGGTGAGGAGCTAGCATGTGGAAGTGTTGGATTTGTGTCTGATTGCCTTCTGTCTCATACAAACGGCCTTATTTAAAGGAGGAGAATTGATCTGTTTCTCCTATTCTGCACACCATATGTTATAATCATAGGGTAAAAACACGGTTACATACCTAAAAAAAGGTACATTATTGACCCCTCCCTTAGGTGAAGTACTTTTCTTGTGTTTTCCTGTATGCGCTCAGACCTGCAGGTAGTGACCAAATCTCCTGCAGAGATTCCCAGGCTCAGAGAAGTCAGCACCAGACAGGGCAGACATCTTTGTCTCCAGCTAAACGGGCCCAGTGGAGTTGGAGCCACAGCTCTGCAGTACATCTCCAGGACCAACCAGCTGGCAGTGGGGTTTTCTGATGGATACTTACAGCTGTGGAACATGAAGGCTCTAAAGAAGGAGTGAGTTGAAATTGCTTCTGACTTATTTTGTGAAAGTCAGGAAGATGTTTTGTTTTCAATCCTGTATAGCCTTTTCTTTGAAATGAGACCACATTGCTTAATGACTATATGTCATGTCGAGTAAATATTTTTGCTGGCAAGACTACAATAATACACTTCATTTTACATGGATTAACTACATTTAAAAATACAGTGGGAAGAGATTAGAAAGAAATTAAGAGTCTGTAATTCATTAGCCTCTGTAATGTAATGTAATCCTGTACCATTGATAGGTACATTTTAAATGTTCTTCATATAACTGTATGTGCACACATTTATTTTTATTTTTTTTCTCAAACGTAGATACCACTCCCAGTTAGAGGGTGGCAGGGTGCCGGTGCATGCCTTCACCTTCCAGGAGCCAGAAAATGATCCCAGGAACTGTTGCTACCTCTGGGCTGTCCAGTCATCTCAGGAACTGTAAGTCAACAAGTAATCCATCTGGGCAAAGTGGTTTTTTGTTTGTTTGTTTTTTTTGGGTTGGTTTGTTGTCTGTTTTCTTAGCTCTTTTTTTCCTCACTCCCACACAGTGAGGGAGATATGGTCAGCCTCCATCTGCTTCAGCTCGCCTTCAGTGAAAGGAAGTGTTTAGCTTCTGGGAAGATCCTCTATGAGGTTTGTAGTGCAAACAAGATTCCTACAATATACACGGTCTATTCACTTCATTTAATGAATTTTTTTACAATGCAGGTCCTGTGTAAGTGCCAGTATATGTAATGTATATTTACCTTCCTTGTTTTATTCTCCTCGCTCAGGGTCTGGAGTACTGTGAGGAACGTTACAGTCAGGAGTTAAGTGGCACAGCTTTCCCTCTCAGGGCCCAGGCCACCAACACCCGCCTTCTGAGCTGCCATACCATCGAGAAGTTCAGACCCCATCCCGACAGGGATGACAGCATGAACGAAGGTAAGCCTGCTATGCCTGAGACTACTTGTAGAAGATATTAGAGCAGTGCTTTGGCATTTTCCATCAAATTTGAATCCTTTGTGCTTTGACATTGCCATCGTTGTCGTATTAGAAAAATGGAATCTTAAAACTATAAGCTATACCATTATGTGTTCTCATTAAAAGTTGTTCTGTTGCCTAATTGTGAACAGTCCTACTCTTTGCCTCTTTTAAGCCCTGGATATACTTGCTTTTAACTACGCGTTCGCAAGATGGCTGCCACGCGTATCCTGCATTGTTAAAAAACAAGTGTATCCAGGGCTTTATTCTGTACTGTATCTACATGTCCACTTCACCCACAGTTCTTCCCATTTTCAGTTGCATCTCCAGACACCAGTGTGTCTATCTTCAGCTGGCAAGTGAAGGCCTATGGTCAGGGTACTCCATCTACATACATTGGAGTTTTTGACATCAACCGTTGGTACCACGCACAAATGCCAGACTCTTTAAGGTACAGTGGCCACTTAACTGTCTATTTTGATAGTATATTTTCTGAAACCTTTTTGTCCTGCTGTGTTTGAAGGATTATACATGTGGCTGGTTTAAAATGTGGTAATTGCTGAAGGAATACACCAGATGGCAATTAGAACAACTGTACCAGCACAAATTGTAGTATACTGTATGTAAATATTTGGTTTGTGAGCCTAGATATAATAACGAATTGAAAATGGTGTGCTCTTTTTCTTAGGTTATTGGAATGATTATTATGATTGGATGGTTTTCAGTGTCACTGCATTTCACTTGCACTTGTGTGTTGTTATCAGAATGGGGGAGTCGCTGCAGAATTGTCCCTACCTGGCAGTTTGGTCTCTGGACCCAGTGGTGCAGATGGTGTCTGCGCACGTCCTCCTGGATGTGGTGGTGCACGACCGCAGCCTGAGCAGGGGCCTGCCCTTCACCTGCCCCCCACCAGAACAGTACTTTAACCCCACCACATATAACTTTGGTAGGTGTAAGCACTGAATGTAAAATAATCTCTGTGAGACTCTAGCCAGAGACGCTCAGGAATTTGTTGTGCAGATATTCCCAGGGTTGTAGTAGAAGTATAATTTGACAGATTATTGTTCTTCCTTTCATGCTACAGATTCTACCTGCTTGCTCAACTCTGGAATCGTGCACTTAACCTGCTCTGGGTATCAAAAAGAGGCAAGTTTCCTCTGGTTGTTTTTCTCATCATACAAATGTTAACGTTATCATTCATTGCCATTAAATCCAAATGCAGTTATAATAAATGAATATGTGACTATAGAAATACATTGGGGAAACTTCAAGCTGTGTTTTAGTTTACATGGGTTTTCTTCTATATTATTGGGACAAATGCTGTATTCGGAACTGCCCACTACATACTACTGGCAACCGCAGTATGTACTGTATACTGCATACTGTATGCAGTATGAAACAGTTAAATTGATTTATTTTGCAGTATGCTAGGCCAGGCTAAGCCAGTTTCAGTTTTCAAAATCTGAACAATAGGAGTATTTTAATTTTAAGTACCGCTTAAAACGTTTTGTTTTTTTTGTTGTTTTTTTTTTTAATCTTATATAAGGAGAACAAAGCTGCAGCCGATCTGTAGCAGATGTTTGCTTTGGTATATTGGTGCATTAATAAGAATTATATAAAATAAAGGCAAATAAAAAGCAAGTAATGTAACCACAACTATAACATTACACTAATAATGTAATGTCTATTTAGAATAATGATGATGATGATAATAAAGCAACAAGAGTCTCCTTTCAAACTACTTAATGTTGTTGATCACAACCTCTGCCGCATGTGCAAAGCTTCTCGACTCTCGAAAATGTTCATTCGTAAAATTCTCGATTGACCAACAATTTTCCTAAAACGTCCAACATTTGAAATCTAAACTGTTGATTTCTCGCCTCAGAACTTGTTAGAAGTGGATTTAATGATGAAACAGCGTGTGAAAATTGTAAAACAAGTTCTGTGGTTGTCCTCCACACAACAGTCCGGTTGTTGTTACAGTTCTATCGCTTTGCATTGTGGGACACAGTATGCGAGGTAGACTGGTCCGATGTAAACTGGAGATTTTTCCCAAATCAGTACACCCTCCGGGTATTTTTGGCATACTGCAGATTTTGCTTTTGTTTGCATACTACATTAAGTCCAAATCAGTACGTACTCCTAGTATGCAGTTTCGAATACAGCCATAGCCTTTTCCTTGTGTTTTAATAAGCATGAGCATGAGATGATATGTTTATTGGCTACGCAATAATTACCATGTAGGTAGGAATTAAATATGTGAAGATGACTCGAATGGGGACGTAGGCTTGTTTAAACCTCACGATTATCTTTAACACCAGACTCTGAGCTTTTTGAAGAAAGCTGCTCCTTGTTCCAGTGACATCATCTCCACTAGCTACTCTCGCTGCCTCATGTCTGGCCTACTCTCATCTCGCCTGGCTGACACCCAGGCCTCCAGCCTCTCTCAGGTACACGCATGTCCTTGCACGACATCTTGGTCTCCAGAACCACCTGTTCGCACAGACGCACAAAGCCACTGGTGTTGACGCTTTTGTTCTCCCTCTTTTACTTCACAGTAAATAAAATCTTACAAAGCAATGCGTAAATCTAACATTTTGATATTAATTTTTACACTTAACTTGGCCTTTAGGAGGAGCAGCTGGATGCCATCTTGTCTACAGCGGTGGAGACCAGCTCCTTGGGAATGATCACTGGCTGTATCAAGCAGTGGACTGCAGAAGGTGAGGAGTCATACGTGAACTAACTGTCAGATTGTTTCTCAAACTGCCTACCCAAACCCATTGCACCCATGATGGCAAGGATGCGGTGAAGACGTTCAGTGCTGCCCTATTTAGCTTCATCTTACACAGACATACACTTAAATCGTAATTTGAATCTTTACTTAGTTCCTCTGCATACATGTTGCAGCCACCAGCCCTGCCGTCAAATCTAATGCTTCTAATTTTGTCCCTCCTAAACAGAACAGCCAGGCTCTGCACTGAACCTGCGATACATCCTGGATTGGGCCTGGAACAAAGTAGTCCAGACCAAGGAGGAACTGGATGGCATCTGTATGTTTTTAAATAAATACATGTTGTTTTTATTCATTGATTTAACTGATGCCAACTCAGACTTTTACAGTACAGAATTATTTACCAACTATGGGAAATGCTCGCCTTGTCCATTTGTTGCTATTGTAAATTATTTATTATTTAAGTGATCTAAATTCCTCCTGTTTCCTCCCAATTCTATGCTGTTTGCAACTTTGTTTCCGTTTTATAAATTTATGTTGTACACCTGTTCCTTTTGTGCTTGTTTATCCGCTAGGTGCACCGCTGTTTGACAGCTCATCCAACTTCACAGACCCTCAGACCATGCAGCTGCTACAGCACAGTCAGAGACTGCTCGGTAACCTCAGTAGCATCTTCCACTGTCTGCTCAGTGAAGCTCAGGAGCTCACACAAAAAGGTGCGGTATCCACACAGATACAGTCACATGTGCAAGTGTTAAATTTCCCTGTGATGTCAGTGGAAACAGCCAGCACTGTTTTTAATTCCTATTTGTGCTAAACTATAATGAAACACTATAGCAGTGTTTTTTATTGTCTACTGAGTGTTGATGTCAGTTAAATAACATCTAACACCTCACGGCTTTATAGTTTGATACACTTTGAGCTAAAATATAAAGCATCTGTTGTGTTGTTGTTTTGAGTCATTTGTAGTTATTTATTGAGGTTTTGGTTATATTTTTTGTTGTGTAGGTCTGGTGGGTCTGATTAACAAGAACATGGTGTCCAGTCTGGTTTGCAAGTACGCCCAGGTGGTGCTCTGGTTCTGTCGTACCGGTCTACTGCCTGAAGGATCAGGTAAAGTGTTGCTGGCTCAAACATCATCTGGGAAACCTTTGTTTCCAGCATTTACACAACACAATTTTGGTGAATAAACAAGTTGGAAGCAGGTTGAATTAGGGGTGTGCGATATGATGATATCTATCGTTTGACGATAGAAAAATCGTTAACAATTATGCTCTATCGTTTTATTTCGTTGTCGCAAATTCGAGGGCGTTGGATATGCAACGTCTATCGAACATCCAACCTAAAAATAATATCCAACTTGAAACTAACTTCACCACGGTCCGTTCTTCCACATATGCTGTTGTTTTATGGAAAATAAATTTGCGTTCAGGATAAACAAATGTGGAGGAGAGTGAAGCTTACTCATAACTGGATAATACTGAACAGGAGAGAAGTCTGTTGAGCCACGCAACATTATTCCATCAGTTCCAGCCGTTGTGTGCGTGTGTGTGTGTGTGTGTGTGTGTGTGTGTGTCAGGTAACGTTAAAAGGCAGTTAGCTATAGCAGCAGGAGAGCTGTGAGTATCACAGTCCTGAGCTGCTGTGCTGCTCTGGGACAGTCTAGTCCTCTCGGTAGCTATGCAGCTGCAAGTAGCGTCAGTTTGTTAACCCAAAACCTTGCTAACATTACATTACTTGCTATTTTGTTGTTCACTCTATATCATGGTATATGTCATGTTTCTGGATTTCTCCATAATCGCATAAGTTACCCCTGCTTTATAATGCAGAGAAATATCAAGTTAATGTTGGAAATTAAGTCAGTAACTCATGATATTTTATTGAATTTACAAAAAATGTTCTATATCGGGATATATATCTTTATCGGGATATGACTTTTTTTGTCATGTCGCACAGCTCTAGGTTGAATATCTTTAGGTCACTGACTCGAGTGACCTGGAGATATATTTAAACTAGAAGCATTATGCAATTTATAGAGTGGAGAAAATTCTTAAATCAGGAACAGAAATGCCTTAAGAAGGCTACAAGAGGTGTAGCCATCCAAGCCAGCCAAGTGTGGATGCTATAAGAAAATATTCATAAACATTTACAGAAATGTCTGGTTCAAGTCTGTTTCTTCAAGTCATTGCTGCATAAAATTATAGGGGCCAAACTTTTGAATGTCACTGTATTCAGTTTTATCCCCCCCACCCCCCAGACGCTGACGCTCTCCAGATCTCCAGGCCTTTCTACAGTCACTCAGTCATCAGCAACTATTATACTATACGCAGAGAAGAGCTCACCAGGCTGGCTAAGTGAGTAGTGTTTGCTTGAAAGCAAATAAATCTAACATGAATTCCAAATGTTTTTTCACAAATACTATCTCATTTACTTCATCAAAAGTTGAGGCTTAAGATGTTAAAATTACTCATCAAGTATCCCAAACCTTTTGTATGTTTTCACCTTTTCCTTGATGAGGATGGTCTAAGTTGATCCAATGCTGACTGCTGTTGCCTTCTCAGGGGCAAGTGGTGCGCAGACTGCCTGATGATTGACGGCTTGGTTGGCCAGTGTGGCGAACGCTTGACAGACCTGTGGAAAAGGGATGAGGGTGGGACAGGGCAATACCCTCCACCTACACTGCATGTAAGCATTAAATGTATTTATTTTTAATTTCATTTATTTTGTACCAATGTGTGTTGAATTGAGTTCTTACAATATGTAAAGAATTGATTCTAAACCTTTGATCCACAGGCCTTGTTGGACATTTATCTGCTGGACAGCATTGATGAAGCTGCCAAACATGCAATTGTATCCTTCAAGTAATAATGCCCAAATGCCAGGTCATGTTCATGTCGGCCTTGGCCGGCTCCAGTATTTAAGAATTCAGGGATTATTTCTTTAGCCGTTTTTTAAAAAAGGGAATACATTCACTGTTTTAACGTTACACACAAAAACCCCCAAATGTAACTTTTTTTTGTAACCCTGTTTGTTTCATTACATATTAGTTTTACAATCTTGTAACCTTGTTGTTTTTGTAAATGAGATGTAAATGAAGCCTACTGGTTGTATGAGCCTTGACCTATTGTCCCAGGTGATTTACCTGTTGCTGGACGTCATGTACTCGTTCCCCAATAAGGAGGGAGCATCAGTGGAATCTTTCCCTACAGCTTTTGCCATTCCTATTGGACTGGTGAAACTAGTACAAGGCCTCTGGCTACTGGACCATCATGACCACCAGGTACACACACATTGACACGTGACAGCCGTTTTATTTTCCCTAGGATGCAAATTTGGATACAGAGAGTTAAAATAGCTCTATTGTATTTAAATGGAACGTCAGCTGTTACATGACTCCTTTTTTATAATACAATCCTTCTCTAAGGTTTTAGCTCTTTTTAAACCTTATTTTCTTTTTTGTCCTATTCAGAGTTCATTTGAGCTCCTGCTGCATCCAGCTGCCTCTCAGTGTCAGTTTGAGTGGCAGCACGAGCGTGTCCTGCAAGCCCTGATGTGCCAGGGTCAACACTCAGTGGCTCTACGATACTTCCATGTTACAAAACCCCCAATTTCATCCACCTCCCAGGCCAAACTCTGCCTGTCTGTACTGCTATGCAACAGGTAAGAGCAAAAGGAGAGCACTCTGTGTGCAAGAACACGAGCAGAAACATTCAATAAATAGTTTTGCAACTGTGAATCATGGACAAAAAATTGGCTTTTGTGTTAGGAAACAAAATTCCATGCCAGCCCTTGATTAGTTTACTTGCACATGTATTATCTTACCTTTAAAAACCAGCCGGTATGCCCTTCTTCCAGGTGTCTTATAGAGTCGTGGTCCTTACTTCGGCAACACTCTAATCGCCTCAACATGAGTGAGCTGCTGGGCTTCCTGTACGAGAGCTGCCAGGAGCTGGGCCTCATGAAGGAGCTGCTCAAACTGCCCCTGGGCATCACTGAACAGGTAGGAGAGAGATGAGTGAACATGTGGTTACATTGGGGGATTTGTAATACCCTAACCATCCATTATTCGCTCGTATTATATGCTCGTATATTAATTTGTCTGTATGTTTTTGGATTATAAAGTAGATGCCTAAAACTCGTGGTTCTTGGGTTTGTGTTTCAGGAGTGTTTGGAGAAGTTTCTCCAGGGTACAGGGGGTCTCCAGAACAGAGAACTGTTGATGGTTCATTACCTTCAGCAGGCCAACTACATTCCTGCCCTGCAGCTTAACCACAGTCTCAAAATGAACCTGGTGGTATGTTTGACGCACACATACACAAAGTATTGTGCTAATCATCACAGAATTGTCTTCATAAACAGTATGTGATATTATATTCACAATCGGATGTACTCGTGAATTGTTATCAATTTAGTCATTTAAACTATGAACCACAATGTACAAATATGAAAATTCATGATGTGGTTAAATAGAGATACTTAAATTCCATAAGATTTATTATCACTTGTTCTTGTTCTTTGTTCCTAGAATGAGCGAGACCCAAAGCTTAAAGAACGATCCAACACCAGAAACTCTATACTAGATCAGTATGGCAAAGTTTTGCCCAGAGTCCAGAGGAAACTGGCGATGGAGAGATCCAAGCCTTACCAGCATACATATGCCATCCACAGAGAAGGTAAGGAGGCACTCAACTTGAATTCATGCCTGTTACAATTTGCCCAACTGGTAACGTGTTTTCAGAGCAGGAAGATGTATCAAAATTTTAACAGAAACTTCTTAACCCACACTCACATAAATCACTTGCTCAGTATGTTCCAGTGATATATTACATACTCTGCTTTCGTCTGTTGTTGCAACCACAGTGTCTGTTTTAAATCTGTTGTTTTAATTTAATCTGAAAATGATCTTAAAAAAACATTATTTACAAATATAACTAACATATCTACACACTGTCTCCAGTTTCTCGGCCACAGCCGCTGTCCACCATCACTAAGCGCTCTGCCAGTGAGAAGGTGATGTCGAGGGCTGGCTTCATCAACAATGTCCTGACCAAGATAGAAGAGGTGTGGTTAGGCAAAGGAGCTACACCACAGTCCTCCCCAGCCAAGAGGTGAGCAGAAATATTACCAAAATAGTATCACAGAGGTAATTCTTTTTTTATATATAATTTTTGATTAATTGAATTATTTTCTAACCTTTTTCAAATTTGTTTCTGCCAGCCCCAGGGCAGCTGCTGTTCAGAGCCCCAAGTGCTCCTCCATGGCCCTTCCTGACCCCTTCCTGGGAACTCCTATCACCATGACTTCCAAACGAAAGTCAAGGTACCCTCATAAGAGCTCCATGTTAGCTTGAGTGGAGCATACCATAAATATTAGTTTGAACAGGAAATTATACACTTGTTTAATATTTTTTATTTGATGTTCCTCTGACACAGGACAGTTTAATCTGTGTTTTTTGAACTTGGACTAATCTTTACTATAACCAGACACCAGTTTGACCCTTATATTATAAAGATCTCAAAATTAACTATTAGTAATTGATTCTAAAATAAATGTTGACAGATCTGAGCAAGGCGCCTCCTAAAGTGTAAAAGTCAAATTTTCTCAGTTCTGATATATTATATTTTTAGAGACCTCACAGCAACAAACTCTTTAAGCCATATTATGGAACTGCGAAATGCATTATACTGACCTAAGGTGTAGGACACTGATTTGGAAAACCTTGCATTTATACAATATAGGAATCTACATCTTAATATTTGAATGTTAATATTTATATTCCATAAAGCTACACGTATGCACATCAGAGTTTTGTTAAGACAACATCTTGAAGTAATGGATGCATTCCTTTTCTCGTCTTCAATGTGACCCAGGCTGATTGACTTGGTGGTTCACCCCTCGTGTCAGACCCCTCGCCCTCTTCTCAGCCCTCCCAGACCTCCCAGCTCCTGGGTTTCTCCAAAGAGCACCAGCAAGGCCCCTGAACTCAGTTTGCTGCAAACACCACAGGTGGTCAAGGTGGGTAGACCAATAAGGAGTTTTTATTTGTGTTCCTTGAGCATTTTGGTATTTTGTTTCTTACACTTTTCATGTTTTGGTTCTCTCAGCGAGCTCGGGCCTTGGCTGCTTCTGGCCCTGTGTTCTCAGCCTTCACTCCCCAGTCCATCCTGCGCAGCAGCCTGAGGCCCACACCTGTCGCCACTCCTTCTGCTTCTCCAGGACGCTCCATCACCCCACCGCTCCGCAGCAAAGAGACCCGGATCACCTTCAATGAAGAGGCAGAATCTCCTGAACCAGTGAAGGGCATCCGATGGACCAATGGGGTAAACCAAGTACTAGATAGGAGTGGTGTGATGACTCTTGAGACACCTCGCACATAAAAAGAAAAACACTCTTTGGGCCAGCATCACATTCTGCAGCTCATTGGATGGGTTTTAGCGTGTTACCTTAAAGAAGTGTAGTTACTACTTGGTTCTTGTGTGTTCTTCAATACAGATTATTATGCACAATATGCAATACTCCACTAATCAACAGATCACTTTGCTCTAGAGCTGCTACCTAACTTGTGCTTAGTGGTCTGTATTAGCACCTCTTTCTCATCAGTGGTCTTTCTCTTTGTTTAGCTGGTGGATTTGTCTTTATAATGAAATTGTCTTCCAAACTTCTGTTTTCCTCTCTAGATGGCAGCAGACAGTGAGATTAGCTTGCTGACCAGAGGCCCCACGCTATCCAAGGCTACACGTAAGACCTGGTCCTCACAGCTCGCTGAGGAGGAAGAGGATGGAGGAGAACAACCTCGTGTAAAGTTCTCTCCTCCAGAAGGTGGTATTCCCTCACCACAGCTGAGATGCTTTGAGAGCGAGTCATCCTCCCTCCATGAAGTCGCTGCAGAAAGAAGACCATCAGATGCAACGCAAGCACAACTCAACCTGAGCTTTGACACCAGCCAGGTGTCTGTCCGTTCAACAGACACCACTCTGGAGTACTATGATGCACCTCTCTCAGAGGAGCAGGAAGCAGTAGAGGGACATACAGCTACAGTGAAAGATGAGGAGGAAGTGACGGTGAACGTAAAAGGCCTAACTGAAAAGGAAGAAGCAGAAGAAGCTCTCCTGGCATCAGAGGATCTAGAGCGGAATGAAGAAGGGGTGAAGGATGATGAAATATTTGAGGAAGTGATGGAGACATCTCTTGAACAGGAGGCTAAAAAAGAGCAGGATGTTGAGTCTAGTGGCGAACAAGAAGATGCTGCAATTCTCGACCAAGAGGAGACGTCTAGCCACAACCAATGTAATTCATGTGCTGCATTTGCTTTATTTATTTCATTCAGAAATGTATGGTAAAATGTTCATGTGCATATTCACAGCACACTTCTCTGAAACATTGCTTGACACATTTTGTATGCTGCTAGTTTGTAACCAGGTAACTGAGAGCACAGAGTCTGGAACTGAGGTCAGATATCAGGATCAACCAGCAACAGCCGCAGGACAGGACGTCCAGTCAGAGGCCACTGAACCCACTGAGTTCATTGAGAATCTGAAACCATCTGGAGCCACTGAACCCACAATTGAACCAGAGGAGGAGCTGGAGCAAGCAACAGGTCCATTCTCAAATGATTCATTTACACTGTAAAAAGTTACAAGATTACTGCCTCATATTAGACACAACTCTGGGGGAATGGTAGAACTGTAAAATATATTAGGGTAGGCTAACGCTTCGCTGCTGAAACACTCCAGTGTGAGTTCAGCTGACGCCATTATTCCACGTTTTCCTCTAGTTTCGTTTGTTGTTGTAACCTTTATTTTTATTTTTATGTAAAGCACATTGAATTGCACATGTGATTGCCTAAAAGGTGCACGCCCTGTGCCCACTCTGATTGGTGAGTAGGACTGTAACAGGAGGCGCATGGCGCTTGTGATTGGCGAGCATGTCTGTCACACAAGGATGACAACGGAATGAATTTGTAACTGCATCTGTTTAAAACGGGTCAGATGCTGTTTATTAACCTACATTTTAATCGCCGTCTTCACAATTAGCTAATTGCGTTCTTTCAAATCGCAATTTCAATTTGAAAACAATCGTTATGGTCGTTTGGTGCCTGTTATGTCGAAGATGGATAATGACTCTTAATTTGTGTGTTGTTTGCCTGCAGATCTGACAGAGTTTGTGCAGAGACATCTGTTTGGCAGTGATCTGTCTCCTCCACTCACCCGCTCAGGAATCCACAATGCATCACAGACATCCTTCAGCAGGTGTGTTACCTTCTCTGTTTACAACCAAAGTTAGAAATCTCTTCACTTTAACACCATCTTGTAATATTATATCACAGATTTATAGCTTGTTCTCTAATGGTTGAAACTTTCAGCAAAGTGTCTTTTCGGTAACTCAGGGTGTGGAACTCAGGTGGTTTACCTGGTTCTTGTTTTGGTTCCTGAGCAATAGTCATAGATTGCCATGGGTTTGTATGTCTAAATTAAAATGCACTGAAGGAATAGTCCATATTAAAACAAACCTTCATTACACTATATCACTATAAATATGGGAATTTGGTTTGAAGTTATGAAAATGTTGTGTACCTGTTTCCTTTCCTGGCCTTTTCAGCTGCTTGTGTTTGTTATTTTGCTTTTCACAAGTTAAAAGATCTCACTTTCCTTTCTTCCAGTGAGCCACAATATGAGGTTGAAGAGGAGAAGCAGGCAGCTGCTGAAGCTCCCCCAGTGTCCATCAGCCAAAAATCTACTGTCTCTGTGACTTCCTCCGAGCCAACTGGCACCGACTCCCACTGTGAGGAAGATTGCGCACACACAGGCACATTACCACTGGTGCTCCAACTGTTAAAGTGCTATTTTATAAATTTTCTCCTTCACTGCTTGTTCTTTATTTTTGTCTCGTAGCTGTTGTGAGCCTAAACGACAGTGAAGAGCTTTCTAGCCCCATGTCTGAGGAGGAAGAAGAGGAGGAGGAGTCTGATCAAGCTGAGGAGGAGGAAGAGGAGGAAGAAGAGGAGGAGGAGTCTGATCAAGCTGAAGAGGAGGAGGAGGACTCTGGTAGTGAGGTGGAGATCATTGAGGAGGTCCAGGGTAATGGGAGGCTGCCACCCCTTCGACCCAATTCAGTCTTTGTACAACAGGGACACACGCACTTCCTGCCAAGTCTGTCAGAGCAGCAGGCTGCTGAGTTCTCTCTGATCACACCTGGTACAGAGATGAAGGTAACAAATGTAGAGCTGAAATGATTAGTCAATTAAGTCAGTACGTGGAAAATTTGTCTGCAACAATTTCAAAAATGCCAAAAACTCTCTATTTCCAGCTTCTTTATATGAGGATTTGCTACTTATCTTAGATTTATATTGTGTTGTTACCCGAATATCTGATATTCGACTTTGGGTCAGTAAAACGACGCATTTGGAGATGTCACCTTTGGTTCTGGAAAGATAGACCGTTTCAGAATTTTCGGACGTTTTATAGACTAAATGATTAATCAGCATGAAATCAACAAGTAACTTCTGCATGTTTGCTCCTTACAGATTGTAGAGGAGGACATGGAGGGTGAGGTGGTGATGGTGAGACTCGGGGCAGATGAAGGCGTGATGGAGGCAGATGAGGTTGAAGAGCAAGGATCATACATGGAGCTTAAACCCTCTACCACTCTCCTCGTACCCCTGGAGCTCATGGAGGGGCAGGACGGCCTGGTGGACCCTTGTCAGCTGGGTCTTCCTGAGCTTCAGCAAATGGTCGTGCCAGGTGACCCGAGGTCTGAATCTCAAAGCGGCTTCTCTCTGATGCTGGATATGGACGAGGATGTGGAAAAAGAGGCTGACACTCTGCCTATAGAGAATGATCTGCAATTCTCTGACCCTCCCACCCTATCTCCAGCAGTGGATGAACCTTTAGAGGCTAGTGATGAACATGTGGCCGAACCTGAGGTCATTCTTTTGGGCGCAGACGATCAGGATCCTCCCGTGTCTGGGGAAACCTCTGAAGAGGACCAGAGGAAAGAGATGGACATGTTGGATGGAGTTGATGTAGGTGGACCAACAGCGTCAGAACATGTACAGCTCGCTGACCTACAGACTGAAAACGCTGACCCAAACCATGAGACACAGGTTGCTAAAGAAGACAGGGAAGCAGAGTTAGTAATGTTGGCTGAAGATCTTGAATCTGCAGGTCTTTCAGTCTCTGAGTCAACTCCATCTGGAGTTCTCCCAGCAGTTTTGGATGACTCTATGGCAGAGAAAGATGCTGCTGAGGAGGAGATGGAAGAGGAGGACAAACTGCACGCTACACCAACACCTGCTGAGGACCGCGACGGTCCAGTACCTGCTGAGGACCACGACACCTCTACGCCTGCTGAGGACCAGGATAAACCAACACCTGCTGAGGACCAGGATAAACCAACACCTGCTGAGGACCAGGAAGAGCCAGAAGAGAATGGGCCTGTTAATATGGACACAGAAATGGCCCCCAGTGCAGAGGCGGTTATTGTCCTGGAGGAGAGGCAGCAGGACCACAAAGCCTCAGCAGAGACAGAAGAGGATGATGGGCAAGAAATTAAGATGGAGAAAGAAATTAAAAAAAGTACCAAGGGAAGACCAAGAAAACATAAAGATGTTGAAGAGAAACCTGTATCAAATAACCAGGCAGAGGAACCGCCTTTGCCAGAGACCCCAACTTCTCAAAGGAAAAAGAAAGCTCCCTCCACCCCAACACGGAGGACCACAAGAGGTAGGACAGTTACCTTTATCTCTCCCCTTCCGGAGGAAGCAGAGGAGGATGGGAAAGTAGAGGAGGCAGGAACAAGCACTCTTGTCCCCACCTCACCTAGTCGTACACCAAGAAAAACTAAACAGAACAAAGAAATCAAAGTCCGAGTGAGCACACCTCGAAGGAGTACTCGCAATGCTCAGCCGGAGCGTCCTCAAGATGAGATTGAAGAGGTGGAGGCCATTGATAATGACACTGCAGTTACATCAACCAAGGCCTCTTCTCCAGCCAGACGGCGGGTTTCCCAGAGGACCGCTTCAACAAGGATCAGCCAGAAATCCCAAAGTAATAGTGAGGAGGTGTCTGCAGCCGCAGAGGTTGATATCAAAGAAGATGAGGTCACAGATACAAAGGTTTCTCAACAGACAAGCTCCAGGACTTCCACACCGGCCAAACGCAGGGCCACTCAGGGAAACACTCCGAGGAGGTCCAGCAGGAGGACCCTGAGTAGCTGTGAGGTGGTATCAACACCGTTAGAGATGTTGAAAGAAGAGAAGGAGGAGGCCTTTGCATCCCCTCACAAATGCAACTCCAGGAAAACTAAAACGGGATCGTCAGAGCTGGCTCCGCTGGGAGAGGAAGAGGAGAACAAAAAACTTTCCAGCCCCGGCAGGACCACTCGACAGTCCAACCAGATTACCCTAAACATTTATCCACAAGTAAGGATTCAATTTTCCATGTTACGTAAGCTGAAAGTTGTCAGATAAGATAATGTTACTGTTGGTAACATACCAAAAATGTAACGCTTGTTCACCATCATCTAAAGCTGATGGAGCAACTTTTTAAGCAATGTTGCTGGGCAGTCTTGCTTGTCCAACTATGTTTTGAACGGATAGCGGCGGGGCGGGTGGCGGAGTGGTGGGGGAAGAGGTCATTACCATAGACAACAACATTGCCCAGCACCGTTGCTCCGTGTATCATCAGCTTAATATTAAGCTATTTTTGTTGGACATTAAAAAGTTAAATGACTAATGTATTTGACACACAACTTTCCATAAAATGATTTGTTTTAACTCCATATCATTTTCAGTTTCACCAAGTCGTCCATTTTACATTATTCCACATTACACGTTAATAAAACCGATCCATCCACTGCTGATCATTGACGACATTTAATACTCGCAGGTGAAACTGGTTCCTGTATCACTTCCTCAGAATGCAAGGAAGACGAGAGGAGAGACCATTAGTGAAAATGTTACAGAAGGTGAATCTCTACTCGAGCCTCAACTTAACAGCAATGCTGGTCGCACCAACTCCCTTCGACCAACTAGAAACAAACTTTGGGATTACCCTGAGGAAGACCTTCCCTTATTGGACTCGCCGTTGGAGGTGAATTCTGAAACCCCTGTCGCAGATGCCCTCATCAAGAGGCTTCAGGATGAGGAAGAGAAGCAGGAAGGTAGGTTTGAGGTTGCATACGGACCGGAATTAAAACTGCATTTAATAATACAAAACAAATAAATAAATAAAATAAACTCATGATAGTATGGCCGTGATGCTACAGGTACTTCTGAGACAATCCCAATGAAAGCTGGTGTTCATCACCCTACCTTGACTTATAGGCTTTGTTAACACACTAAAAGCTGTAATGGAGCATGAAACACACTGGAATCTGTTTATCATGACACATTGTTTTAATATTTTGTACTATTTATTTCCTGTGAGACATCTCAAAATAAAGTTTAAATGTGCCGACATGAATGTTAGTGTAAATAAGTGTGAACTCTTTGTTATACAGGAGGAGTAGTCGTCACCAAGATGGTAAGAACCGGCAAGACGAGCACAAAGTCTTCAGTGAAGCAGGTTAACTCGCTACTTCCTGTGAATGATGGCCTGGTCACCGAACCCGATGAGTCTAATCCAGGCGAGCACTCGTTCATCTACTCCCCCTCGCGAAGAAGAACAAGAGGTGAGCTGTGTATCCGTTTACCAGCATGCCTTACCATCCATTTATCCTTGATGGTTTTAACCATGCGTCATGTCTGTGTGTCAGCTCATAGAGCAGAGGCTCCTGGGCCAAGTGAAGAGTCTGCGGTGCCCGTCACTCGCAGTAGGAGAAAAGTTGCCTCTGTTGCTCCTCATGTAAGTTCTTCTGTCTATGCTGTTTTTTAGATTGAAACTCATTTTGACCAAGAGTATTCTACTGTGAGTCAGTTTTGCAATATTGGTCCGTGCTTTTGCTTTCGGTCTTCTGTTTGTTACCAGCCTTTGAAGCATGTTTACACAAACATTTTAACCCTTTTCCAGGATGAAATTGCCTCAGAAGAAGATCACGTGGAAGTGGAGAAGGCAGCAGGTGTTTCTAAATCCAGAAAAACAGGCAAACGAACAGCCAAGTAAGATCACGTTTCCCTAAGAAAATCTTATGGACCCCTAAGACTGAGGATACGACAAATACCTTTTATACTTTTTCAGTGACATAAATCAGTTTGCACTGAGCTCTGTTTGTTTGGGCCAAAGAAAAGAGTATTTCACCATTTTTTTTATATATATATATATAATCATGTAACTTTATTATAATTAAAGCATGTTAGTTTACATGCTAGCACCAGTGGTGGAGGAAGTATTCACATCTTTTCCTTAAGTAATATACAATGCAGAAAATGTCCCGTCACTGTTGTACAGTTAAATATTACGTCATTAGATTATTATTACTCATGCATTAATGTTGAAGTGGGATTTTACTGTTGTAGTTTTGTATCTAACTGCCACTAAGTTATTTTCATTTTGGTTTAATCTGCTGATTATTTTCCCCATAAATTGAGTAATTGTTTGTAGGGCCGAAAAGATTCATCAATTAAATCAATTACTAAAATGCATCCCACGGACATTTATTACTGTCGCACATGGTGCTTACGCTGTGAACACGACGTGATTATAATGGCGCTGTTTGCAAAGTGGAGAAAATGGTGAGGGACAAAGAAGAAAGTGTCCAAAGATTGTGACTATGTCAAGCTCAAGAAACTCTGTAATGTTACCGTCAGTCCACCGTAAAACGAAACTTATGTCGCCTCGGCAACAGCACGACGGCACCTGATCAGAAAGCAGCCGGTGTTCTGCCAGCGGACCACAGACAAGGTAACAGCAACTTTAGCGTTTAACTGAAATCATGATTGATTGTTGAGTTGAAGGCTAGCCAAAGTAAGCTGCAGACCTCAGTTGAAAATGTGCACACGTGTGTGAGTTGTAACCTCACTGTCATGAGTTAACTGGGTGTTGGGAGCTGCACCTTTAAACTCTGCTCTAGCTCTCTGTGTAGCTCAGACAATCCCTGCTACCTGTGTGTGCTAATCCATCCTTCACCCATATTCTTTGTCTTTATAACTGTTATCTTTATAATAACAAACAACAGCTGTTTCGTGTGCAGGATCGCTCATTTCGAGTTTCATATTTCACGTGTGTTTTCTTCACAAAACATGGTTTGGAGACCAGCGTCGGGTGACACAGCCACTGTCAGCTCGTGTAGTGTGTGACCCCCTGTCACCGATCAGTCACGTAGTGTGAACGCCACAACGACTTCAAGACTCCCGTCACAAGACGGCAAGTTGTGTAGTGTTAACAGCACGGCCGACGCTGAGAGTCGCGTAGTCTGCACGAGCCTTTAGTATAACTTGTATAGCACTCGAGTGATGTTTGTGTTTGTAAAGCAGCTGTCTGGTTGTTGGTCTGTTGATGGTTTTGGTCTGATGTTTGCTGTGTGACACACTATGAATTTCCAAAAGGATCAATAAATATCACCTATAAACGTGCACAGCTGATCCCATTACCGGGAGCAAAAGTACTTCTTAAACGACGCATCAATGAAACGTTGAAATGATTTGTAGAAGCTTTGAATACTAAAATCATCGTTAGCTGCAGCCCTAATTGTTTGGTTTATAATGTATCTTTAAATAGTGAGAAATGGTCACTCACACTCACTCACTTATGTCAGCCCCATGAGCAGGGAACTTTTGCATGTGTGTGGGTCAGATCGGGTCAGTGTGTCAAGATATAGAGCCAGAATGTGGAAAATAAATTAGATGGCACATTTTATTTTTGTTCATTAGCAATTAAATTTTTAAATGGGACACATACTTTGATCTGCATAGAGGGAGGTTGTTTGCAGAGATGGGCAAACGTGTTGGATGCGTTCCCCCAGCCAATTCACGTCCACATTTATTACATGTTGGATTTTCATCCTCCTGGACAACACACGTTTTGGATACCCAAAGTAATCCCAGCCAGTGATTTTACTTTGTTACGGGGCAAATGGAGATCAGTTGAGTCGCCTCTCTTTGACATGTATCTACACTGCTGCATGCGTGTGACGCTGATTGCAGTCTGACAAGGTAGTCCAGTCGGAAAGATTCTGGGTTTTTTTTTGGTTTTTTTTATCTTTTTACAAAACTGGTAATAAGCAAATGTTTATGGTATGATGGCCATCACATTTCATATCGTGAAACCGGATATCGCTGCAACCCTTCTCCCTACTTAGGTTTTACTTTGTTCTTTCTCCACCTTCAGATCCAAAGTCGTTTTGGAGCCGGCTCCTGTAGCAGAGGTGGAGCTGATCTCGCCCCTGCCCAGCCCAGCTGATCCACTCCCACGAGCACAGAAGAGGGTTAAGGAGGGAGAGGCCCCAACCTCGAGCATGAACCTTCGACGCAAACGCATAATGGACACCGTTTTCACAAAACCTGTCACGCGGAGGAAGAAACTCTAAGGAGGTCGGTGGTTTGAACGAGTGAACCTCAGACAGCCACCAGAAGATCTGAACCGACTCGGCCCGAAGCTGTCAAATAAACGTGTATGCCTAAACTTATGATGGTTCTATTTCCTCAAATGCCTCACAGTGCTGCTGTGGTCTTTGTACATTGACTTCCCTGTAGGACAATAAAATACAAGCAGTGTGGGCATGAAAATATATTTTTGGGACAAAACACACTGGTGGGTAGCAGTGTGAGAGGGGACTATATTTTTAGAGTTTACATGTCCTGCTCGTACTAACGTGGTTTCACTTGATATTGTATCTGTGGCCATTTTGTGTTGGACATTTTGCGGCGCTCCTCGTAATCATCTTAATTCTCTGGGCACAGAATGACACAAGGGAACGCAATCAGTGTGGGCTTCTAGAAACTCCCGTTAATAAAACCAGAGAGACTGAATTGAACCTGCCTCTGATAAATAGGTTTTATTTACATTCTCTTTTATTTTAAGGTTGTTGTTTGTTTGTTTTTTTGTTTTCTTTTATTTTTAAGATTACGAGGCCTGCTGTCTTTTCTATTTAAGCAGAAAAGCAACCAACCCAGTGGAGATCAAATATTTCTACTGATACATTTGTATATAGTCTTTTGCTATGTTCCAAATAAAGTTAATAAATAAATCTTAAAGAATTATGTTCATTTTGAAGTTTAAGTGTCTGGAATGCATTTGATCATCTAATCAGACTGCCTATGTCATAGTCTTAAAGTTTCAGTCCATTAGGGAGATTTTCTGTGACACAGACTTGTGTACTATTGTCATCAGATTTGGACTGTGTGTGTGTGTCATGGGGATGTTGTATAGTGTGAAAGAAACAAAGACTTGCACAGCGGTTTGGTGGTGTTTAAAACTGTTTGGGGAAATGTTAATAGGCTTGTTTAATTAAATTTATGGCAACCACCATCTGACACATAGGCTATTTTCTGATGAATGTATGTAGAATGTCTTTATTTTTGATGACTGCTCTTTGATAAATATGGTAAAGCTTGAATACTAATCTACTTCTGGTGTTGAGTGATTTGTCTCAATTTAGCTTTAATGTGTAAAGTGCACGTGTTTTAGTTTGGTGGGTGGGTGGATGGAGTGACAGACCAAAAAGCCATTTCAACCATTGAAAGGATCTACACGCCTTTAATTGTTTTTTACAAATAGCTGTTTTTGGTCACATGTCAGACACGTGTCCATCTTCAGCGGCTTCTAGTTTGAAAAGGAACCTTGTAAATCTGGTTAATATATCAGAATTTTTTGATTTCAGAGCAAGTCACTGAAATGTTGACACACATGTAGCTGTAAACGTGTAATGGTTCTGTTTAAATTTGACTCCTAATTCCCAGTTCTGCGTCTCTTCCATAATTTATAGACGAGGTGAAAGTGAAACCAGCTTCACTGCTCCACTTCACTAACACAACACCTGTGTGTGTGTGTGTGGGGGGGGGGACAAAGTATTAAAGACAAAGTATTTCTTCCCGTGTTAAATGCTGCTGATCATTACTTTTTGTTAAATAACAAATCACTCGTCAGTTAATATTCAATTTTACTCTGTAGCAGTCTCTACTACATGTCTGTGTTAGTTTACCATGTTGGTACAGTAAAATGTTATGATACATGTACCAGTAATAGTAAGTGACACTAAGAAGAAAACCCTGTGAAATCGGTGATGTCACCGATTAAGGGACTGTTCTGGTCAAAGGTCGAAGTTCACAGACATGTTTCCTGTAATTTAGATTTTTCTACACACTTACAGTAAAATGTTACGATTTATGTACCAGTAATAGTAGACAACATTAGGAAGTAGATGATATGAGGTGATGTCGCCTATTAAGAAATTGTTGTCTGATTACATTTTGCTGTTGGATGCATTTTTAGAATGCATGATGATGTCACCTATTAAGGAACTGTTTTGGTGAAAGGTCAAAGTTCACAGTTAACTGTAAACTACCATTTATCGCTTTTTTTCCCCCATCATGTTTTTAGTAAAACCTCAACAGGCTAATATAAACACCACCTGGTACTCTGACCTGGTTGGTTCCATGTCAGCATGTAACTCGACACAGTCCTGCGTTGTTCCGTGTGAGGAAGCCGATCGCTCAATCTGCCAGTTTCCTGTGCTGATACCTGCCTGCTGCACCATGAAAGCTAAAGGCTCAGACATGCACTGCAAGGACTGCGTCAAAGTGGCCGTCAGAGTCCGACCGTTCAACAAGGTCCGTAAATATATCATTGATTTCTTATTTTACGCAATTTCTCTGTTCTTTATATGCCCGAAGTTTTCCTAAGTATTTTAATGTCATCACATTCACTGACATATTACTATATGCTGTTATATGTTGTATACTCTGATGGACCCTACCGGTGAGTCAGTAGGTAAAAACTAACATCACACAAGACTTAGCAGGGCAGCCTGGATATTTACCAGTTTATTCACAAACGTGAGGGCAAAACAAGCAGGAATATTTGACTTTATACATTTATTACTATTCTACAGTGGAGGAAGGTAACAGTATCTTAAGTACTGTACTTCTTCCTCTTGAGTATTTCCATTTTATGCTACTTTATACTACTTCACTACATTTTGGACAGTAATTACTAGTTAATTTACAGATTCAGCTGTACATAAAGTTGTTAAAATGAGCCCCACATTTACCGGCTGCAGTTCACATTAATACATTGATAATTACATGCCAATAACAAATGGTAAATGGACTGTACTTGTATAATATTTGTATAATTCTAGTCTTCAACCACTCCAAGTGTTTTACTCTACATGTCACATTCACTCATTCACACATATTCAGGCTACCATGCCAGCTGCTCATCAGATGGAGACATTCAGACACATTCACACTATCTTACCCAAGGACACTTCGACATGCTGACAGGAGCTGAGGATCAAACCACCAATGAGCAACTCTGCATATTGAGTACTATTGAGTATATTTTGATGCTAATAGTAAGATTTTGTTTGCAGGACTTAATGGAGTATTTCTACACTGTGGTATTACTACTTTTACTTAAGTAAAAGATCTGAGAAGACATTAATTAAGTACATTTACTAAAGTACTGTTCTTAAGTACACATTTGAAGTAGGCCTACTTGTACTTATATTGAATATTCTCTTTTCATGCCACTTTCTACTTATTCCACTACATCTCAGAGGGAGCTATTGTACTTTTTACTTCACTACATTTATCTGACAGCTTTAGTTACTATTTACTTTACAAATTAAGATTTTTACACACAAAACATTTGAAACCTTATAAAATGTGTTGTTACAAATTCAACTACCCAACATGCTATCCAGCTGACACGATTATGAGATCATGTAAAACATTTCATTTGGGCTTTGTACTGTTGGTTAGACAAAATGAGCATTGTGAAGGTGCCACTTTGGGCTCTGGGTAATGTGCATTTCTGTGCATTATTTTCAGAATTTAGAAAATCAATTAATGGAGAAAAACATGGGCAGATTAATGCATAATAAGAATAATCATTAGTTGCACTCCGATACAAAATAGTTATACTCATTAATTACAACAGTAATATCCTGTTTCATTAATGCATGAGTAATAATAATAATAATCTAATATACACTGCTCAAAAAAATAAAGGGAACACTTAAACAACACAATGAACAATGAATGAACAACAACAAACTCCAAGTCAATCACACTCCTGTGAAATCAAACTGTCCACTTAGGAAGCAACACTGATTGACAATCAATTTCACATGCTGTTGTGCAAATTGAATAGACAACAGGTGGAAATTATAGGCAATTAGCAAGACACCCCCAATAAAGGAGTGGTTCTGCAGGTGGTGACCAGAGACCACTTCTCAGTTCCTGTGCTTCCTGGCTGATGTTTTAGTCACTTTTGAATGCTGTTAGTGCTTTCACTCTAGTGTTAGCATGAGACGGAGTCTACAGCCCACACAAGTGGCTCAGGTAGTGCAGCTCATCCAGGATGGCACATCAATGCGAGCTGTGGCAAGAAGGTTTGCTGTGTCTGTCAGCGTAGTGTCCAGAGCATGGAGGCGCTGCTAGGAGACAGGCCAGTACATCAGGAGACGTGGAGGAGGCCGTAGGAGGGCAACAACCCAGCATCAGGACCGCTACCTCCGCCTTTGTGCAAGGAGGAGCAGGAGGAGCACTGCCAGAGCCCTGCAAAATGACCTCCAGCAGGCCACAAATGTGCATGTGTCTGCTCAAGCGGTCAGAAACAGACTCCATGAGGGTGGTATGAAGGCCCGACGTCCACAGGTGGGGGTTGTGCTTACAGCCCAACACCGTGCAGGATGTTTGGCATTTGCCAGAGAACACAAAGATTGGCAAATTCGCCACTGGAGCCCTGTGCTCTTCACAGATGAAAGCAGGTTCACACTGAGCACATGTGACAGACGTGACAGAGTCTGGAGACCCCGTGGAGAACGTTCTGCTGCCTGCAACATCCTCCAGCATGACCGGTTTGTCGGTGGGTCAGTAATGGTGTGGGGTTGCATTTCTTTGGGGGACCGCACAGCCCTTCATGTGCTCGCCAGAGGTAGCCTGACCATTAGGTACCGAGATGAGATCCTCAGAGACCTTGTGAGAACATATGCTGGTGCGGTTGGTCCTGGGTTCCCCCTAATGCAAGACAATGCTAAACCTTATGTGGCTGGAGTGTGTCAGCAGTTCCTGCAAGAGGAAGGCATTGATGCTATGGACTGGCCCGCCCGTTCCCCAGACCTGAATCCAACTGAGCACATCTGGGACATCATGTCTCGCTCCATCCACCACAGACTGTCCAGGAGTTGGCGGATGCTTTAGTCCAGGTCTGGGAGGAGATCCCTCAGGAGACCATCTGCCACCTCATCAGGAGCACGCCCAGGCGTCGTAGGGAGGTCATACAGGCACGTGGAGGCCACACACACTACTGAGCCTCATTTTGACTTGTTTTAAGGACATTACATCAAAGTTGGATCGGCCTGTAGTGTGGTTTTCCACTTTGATTTTGAGTGTGACTCAAAATCCAGACCTCCATGGGTTGATAAATTTGATTTCCATTAATAACTTTGGTGTGATTTTGTCAGCACATTCAACTATGTAAAGAAAGGAGTATTTAATGAGATTATTTCATTCATTCAGATCTAGGATGTGTTATTTTACTGTTCCCTTTATTTTTTTGAGCAGTGTATAATAGTACATTTTATACTTTTACTTTAGTAACATTTTCAATGCAGTACTCTTACTTGTAACAGAGTATTTTTAGTGTGTTTGTACTTTTACTTAAGTAAAGGATCTGAATACTGACACACACACACACACACACACACACAACTGATATAATAATACGTTTATAATGAATGGCATTGTTTAATAAATATGAAAGTTTGCCTACTGTATTTTTAATTGTGTTCAGCAACCCCTGACAAACAAAGCCATACTAATAGTACTTTTTACTTTTGATACTTGAATATTTTCAAAAGCAGGTACTTTTGTACTTTTGATTGAAATTTATTTTTTGTATGGATAAATTTAAATTGAAGAGTTCTACTTTTAGTTGAGTAATATTTAGCAGGGCTATCAGGTACTTTTACTCAAATACAGGATTTGTGTACTACTTCTACCAGTGGTTTTCTACAAATAAGATAGCAATACACACATACAGGGTTTAACTTTCAGCAACTGCCTCTTGAGAAAGTAAGTCAGATGATGAGCCGGAGATCCAAATGAAATGTGGTTATGAAGATTACTCGTTTTCTTCTCCTCTTGCTCTATTCAGAGAGAGAGGGATGCCGGCAGCCGCTGTATTGTCTCCATGGTGTCGAGCTCCATCACCATCCAGGACCCGCGTGACTCCCAGAACCGTCGCTTGTTTTGTTTCGACTACGCCTACTGGTCCCACTCCGGCTTCACACGAGACAGCAGTGGCCTCTATGTGCCCGAAGAGCCCGGGGGACGATACGCTGACCAGGTCAGCTCCGAGGCATCCTGGTAGAACAGGCAAAGAATTGGTGGATTCGATC